CTGCTTCATCTACAATTTCCAATTTCGGTTTCTCTAAAATTGAACAAGAGGTTACATACTTGTGAAGCTATTCTGAATGTAGAATCCAGATTTTAGAAGTTTAAACAATTTTATACAGTGGTAGCTTTACATAATTTGACAGCTTTTTTAGCATCTTGCCTTGGAATCTTTAAAACATTCACCTTTTGGGTTCATAGTGTATTATTACCATCATTTCATAATTTGAGCAGTATCTAATTAAATTATGCAGTGACAATAACAAGTGTAACTGGTGTGAAGAGATTTGAAAACTTACACAGTTGGTTCTTGCTTAGCATGAAGCTCACTGTAGGAAACAGAAATGCATGAGTAAACAGTGGCCTCCTTATCCATCCTATGACTACCTTTAGAGATTTTATATTAACTAAAATCTCAGATTGAGGGGCGGTACCTATGGCTCAGTGAGTAGGGCACTGGCCCCATATACCAAGGGTAGCAGGTTTGAACCTGGCCCCAGCCAAACTGCAAACAAAAAAATAGCTGGGCCTTGTGGCAGGCACCTGTAGTCCTAGCTACCTGGGAGGCTGAGGCAAGAGAATTGCCTAAACGCAAGAGCTAGAAGTTGCTGTGACCTGTGATGCTACTGCACTCTACCAAGGGCGACAAAGTCAGACTCTGTCTCTAAACTCAGATTGAAAATTTTGAACCCTTTCTTTAATGAACATAAATTTAGAGAGAAGAAGTTGAATAAAAATAGCTTGTTCAGACCAGGTACTGTGGCTCACGCCTGTAATCCTAGCATTCTGGGGAGGCCGAGGCAGGTGGATAGCTTGAGCTCATAAGTGCAAGACCAGCCTGAGCAAAAACAAGCCCCCATCTCTACTAAAAAATAGAAAAACTGAGGCAAGAGGATCACTGGAGCCCAAGTTGGAGGTTGCTATAAGCTATGACGCTGTGGCACTCTACCCAGGGCGACAGCTTGAGACTCTGTCTTTAAAAAAAAAAAAAAAAATAGCTTATTCATTCTTAATCTGGGAAGTCATCTTCCATGTACCCATTGTCCAATTATTGCTTTAGTTGGACTGGTTTGAAGATACATCCTACTTCTTTTTCTTCTTCTTCTTCTTTTTTTTTTTTCAGGTAGGACACGGTCTCACTCTGTTGCCCAGAGTAGACTGGAGTCCAGTAGCCTGGTCATAGTTCACTGTAGCTTCAAACTGCTGGGCTTAAGTGATCTTCCTGCCTTGGCCTCCTAAAGTGGTAGGATTACAAGTGTGAGCCCCCATGCCTAGCCCATCTTGCTTCTTTGCTTTCTGGAATTATTCTAGCCGGGCATTGTGGCGGGCGCCTGTGGTCCCAGCTACTTGGGAGGTGGAGGCAGGAGATTCACTTGAGCTCAGGAGTTGGAGGTTGCTGTGAGCTGAGATGCCATGGCATTCTACCCAGGGGGACAGCTTGAGGCTCCTGTCTCAAAAAAAAAAAGTATGGCAAGTGTGGAGTGTAGATGTCCAGAAGCAGCATGGAAAAAACTAAGGTGTATAGAGAAAGAGAGAATGACAAAATGTGCGGTAAAATAATTGAGGACTCTGAGTGGATGGGATATAGGAATTTTTTGCC